GTTTGTTTTCAGTTTCTATGCATTTGAGAACAACTGGTCACCAGACTCTGTTGTTTTCAAAAAAATGCGTCAGTTTCAACGGTTTTTTGAGCATAACTGAATGATCAAGTTAGTTCCTTTCCAAATCGAGCAGCACCACACCTCAAATTATGGATATTGATATATTTTTCAAAAGCTCCTAAATTAAAGTCCCCACTTGGTCACCAGTATCTACTTATTTTTTTTATAGTCCACAAATGTAGAATTCGGTTTAGAGACTGATTTAGGGAACCACAATTTCTAGTAAATGATAACCTACCTATTCATATAAACTTACGCAGGCACTCAGTACTGTCTCTAACTAGATGCCTCTTAGCTGCCAGTTGCAAAAGGTAGACCTTGCTCAGATGTCGCGTATTCTTACGCCATGATCTGGTCACCAGTTTCAAAATACGATATAGACACTGAGTGTCTGTGTTTTATGTCTTCTTATCTCGTTAATGTTATCTAGTTAGTGCAATTTATCTAAAAACTAAATGCAAAATTTTCTTTTAAAACAAAACAGTGCTCAAATCTAATCAAGATAAAATAATTTCTCAGCAATGAAGGAACTATTCGCAGTGAAGACAGTTAATTTTGCAGGTGCAACCTGTGATCATACTATAGTTTAGTTCTATTTCGAAACTTGTTTCTACAGAATGTATTTATTTTCATAGACTGCACACTGACAACATATCGTTTTCTATTTTCGATTTGCGTAATGTGTACAGAACAGGAAAATAATGAAATTTAAGCTTACGAAAAAGCTAACAGAAAGAATGAGTATAATGCAGTTCCGGTGACCAGAGTAGATTTAATGACAAAAATATCTTTGTTAAAATCCTTGGTGTCCATAGTACAAGATTTCTAGGAATGTCCATCATCTGCCCTAAATTCTGGTCCCCAGATTCGTCCCTACATCGGGTTCCCATTTAAGGACAATTAAATAATTATGGTCAATTCTGGTGACCAAATACGAACTTTTATTTACGAAATTTTCAATTTAGGAACTTTTTTTAAATATAAGATATAACATAAATACCAGCACCAGGCATCTCTATATCCATACTAGTCTCTATACATGTTTCGTATTGTGATTAGCTGAAGATCTGCTATTCTAATGTAACGCGTCACGATGTCATATCTGGTGACCAGATTCAAGAATAGTACCTAGATTCAAAATAGCATATAGTTCTTATTCTAATGTAAATCACTGTGATGTCATATCTGGTGACCAGATTCAAGAATATTACCTAGATTCAAAATAGGATACAGATCTTATTCTAATGTAAATCATTGTGATATCATATCTGGTGAACAGATTCAAAAATTGTACCTAGATTCAAAATAGCATATAGTTCTTATTCTAATGTAAAGCATTTTGATATCAAATGTTCTGACCAGATTCATAAAGCGTTGCTCTTATTCTAATGTAGTGCGTTCGAATGTCAAATTCGATGACTAGATTCAAAACACCATACAGACGTTTAACTTTTTATCTTTTTTTGTCGTGTCATCTCGTGAATCTGTCTATGTAATTCATTTAGAAATTTAATCTGACATTCTCTTTTAAGGTAAAGTAGTGCTGAAGTCTAATTGAGATGAAACAATGTGTCAAAAATGAGCAAAAACTTCACACTGACAGCACAGTTAATTTTGCAAACAGAATCTACGACTGTATTTTAATTGTATTCTAGCGACTAGACACAAATTTATTATTATGAGATTGTGACGAAAATATTTGGTCTGCTTGAAAAGTTTGTCTTAATTTTTATCTACAAGTGTGTTCTTTTCAATTTGTGAAATATTATTTAAAAAAACGATTGATCATACTGCTACCAAAGTGTTGCATAAAGAAAAGAAAAGAGATTAATAGTATGAAAAAAAAAAACGTTTTAGGGTAAAATACAAAAATCATATGTTTTACATAACGCAAACTATCATAAGTAAGAAAATTGAAGTTGAAATGTGTATGCCAATAACTATAGATAATGAATACAAAACGATTCTGGTGACCAGAAAGTACTTGGCCATACTAGAGTTTTCGGCACAATATTTGGATTCATTGATAAAACATTTCAACACGGTACAGGATGATGTTGAATTGTGTTCTACATGGTATAGTGTGTATTTAAGAAAAAAAGTCCCTAAATTGAATAGTCTCTAAATAAAAGTACCTATTTGGTCACCAGAATTGACCATAATTGCTTAGTTGTTCGTAAATGGGGCCCGATATAGGGACGAATCTGGGAACCAGAATTTAGGGCAAATGGTAACCTACCATTTCTAGTATGGTAGAAGCAGGATGGCAATTGATGACAATATGTATTGCATGTGTTATATTAAAAAAAAATCCCTAAATTGAAAAATCCCTAAATTAAAATCCCTATTTGGTCATCAGTATGAACGTTACTTGATTAATTATCCATAAATGTGGATTTCATTTAGGGATGAATTCAGGGAACCTGATTTGTGGAAAATGATAGACATTCCTTTTTACACATACATCTACGTCTATGCTTGATAATCAGTTCATGATTCCTCCAACTCTAGATACTATTAAGACTAATTGGATATGCTGAGATGCACTAATATGATTTTTATCTTTATTTTCTCAGAACTTCTTGATTGATACATGATTGTAAAAGGAAAAAAAGGAAATACAACAATTATACTTGTTGTCATTATCCATATCCTGTTGTTATTCAAAAAAACATAAACACATACATAGAGAAATAATCGCAGCTTTATCATAGGCACAAGAAGAACAAAATAAAGGAAAAAAATGCCACTACTCATCATAGTTTGTCGATCAACAGGAAAATAATGATAATTTTATAGATCTGTCCATGATGACCAATAATAGGAGATTGATGAAACTTTCAATTAAAAAGAAAAAAAAAGAAGACGATGTTATAATAAAAGAAAGGAGAAACAAGGAGACATGTGACCAGTAATAGTGTTCAGCATTTAATTAATAAAGTAAACTATTCAAAATTGAAATTGATCTTGTTTAAACTGTTGATTCGTATTAACATCGATTGGATTTATTTGTCCATTTGTTGTTGACGTTACTTGTCTGCTTGTTGTATCAAATTCAAATGGTGCAGATTATCTTTGAAGTGAAGATTTTCATCTTCATAAACATAAAAATATGTTTCAAAAACATGAAAAGCTTCTTAATAAATTTCAATATTTTCATGGCTTTGTAAATATTCAATTTTATCTAAATCAAAACATTCTTCAATCATAATTGTCGCATATGGATTATATCCATTCGTTCGTTTAACTTCTTTGCTGCACCTAATTTAAAAATATTTTTTAAACTATTCAAAGCTACTTGAATTATTTTTGTACCTATAATATTTAATAAATGACATAATGATGGAATTACTCCTTGATCAATAACATATATCTAAAAAAAAGAATTTTCATTTCAAAAACAAAACTCAAATAAAACATTCTTTTACTTTATTTGTTGTGGTGTACCACCTGATATTATATTTGTTACAGCCCAAGCAGTTTCTTTTCGTGTTTTATAATCACCATGTTTAACGATTTTAATTAAACGACGGAAATATATTTGCATCAATAACAGCCTAAAATTTAAAAACTCTCTATTTATTAATAAAAAATAAAAAAGATCATTTTTTTCTTGAATTCGACTTTGAATATCAGCTGTTATATCTGATAAAATTCAATAAGCTTCTTTTTTAATTGATTCTTTTGGATTTTGAAGTAAAGTTAATACATGTGGAAGTATACTACCGTCAATAACAAGCTATATATTATTATAAAAATCCTTTATTTTTTTTAAATAAATAAATTACCACTCCTTATTGATCATCACCTGTAACAATAGTTTCCACAGCACGTAATGCTGATGATTCAAAATTTCAAACTGGATGTCTAATAATTACAAAAACAAAGAAATATTTTATTTTAAATTTTATTTGATTGATTTACTCTAATAATTCAACAAGTCTTGTTGTTAGACTAGCTTCAATAACAGCTTGAATTTTTCATTTGGTCCAGCAGATAAATATGAAATAGATCAATATGTATCAGCTAATACGTCCGAATCAAGATTATAAAGTAAACAACTAAGTACAGATAATGTTGAAGCAACCTAAATAAAAATTTATTAATTTATTTATAAATAATTAAATTTCTTTTTTTTTACTTTATTAAACTTAACAGCTGGATTTTTGCCACGACATAAATTTGTTAAACACCATCCACCATTTCGTATCATTGTTAAACGTGTATTACGTGAAAAAATACTAGATAAATAGCAAAAATGAATTTTTTATTATTTATTTCAACAAAAAAAAATATTTTACTTTAATAATGGTCGAAGTATACCTATATCAAGAACATAATCACAACATTCTGGACTATCTCCAAGAATATTTCTAAATGCCCACACAGCTTAAAATGAGTTTTAATTAATAAAAAATCAATGAAATTTTTAATTTGTTTACTGGTTCTTGAACATCTTCATTGACACTAGTTAATTATTTGACAAAAGCTGATACATCTCTACCATCATCAATAACATATTTTGTCTGACTTGAATTGCCTGATGCTGATGCAATATTTGTAAGAGCCTATATAACTTCAAATTAAATCCTAAAAAAAAAGAACTCTTTCTATTATTATTTCTTTTCAAATCTTACTTGAATTTGAAATTGCTAAAATTTTAATAATTCAGCAAAACGTGGAACAATTCCAGCTGTAAGAACCTCATCAATAGGTCATTTTGATTGTATAAAGAACAGAAAAAATATATATACAGAAATTTATTAAGGAGAATAGATGTAAATCTTTCGAAAGTAATTTTCGAAATCGAATTAAGATAACTTGAATTATTAGTTTCAGATCTTTATTTAATATGAAGAAAAAAAGAGCAAATGAAAAAAAAATGATCATGTTTTACAAATACAAATATCGTCTGACAATTATGACTATAATGCATATATTAATAGATGAACTTGTGTGTCATTATTTTTATTACTTAGTTTAAATGTTCATCAATGTCAATTATATTATCCGAAATATTCAAAAAATCAGGTCCACCATGTTCATCATCCTCACACATCAAAAATTTTTCTGTTCTTGAAAACAATGGACGTTCATGGTATAAATAATCAGCCACTTCATTAATACTCGTATTAGCAAGTGGAAATAATTTTTCATGTGTTTTATTTTTATTAACAAAAACCATAGTATCATTTATTTGTATTGTACATAAATTTTTGAGAAAGTGTTGTCCAAGTAGACAATATTCACGCTTTTTTGTATTTCTTATAGATGGAAAATGTTTTTCAAATTCATTGAAAAAACTTATTCTACTTCGTAATATTCCTTTTTCTGTTGCTGAGAATGGAATTTCATTTGTTTCAAGTAAAACTTTTATTGATTGTTCGTCCAATGAAAAACGTATGTATGGTAATTGAAATTCTAATGGTTTAATGTCAACATGTAAAGAACATTTTATTGTACAAAGTGATCCATCATCTGATTCTTTAGGTTTAATATGTAATGTTGTATCTGGTAATAGACCAGCACCATGTGCTGTTCCAATTGACCATATGTGTTTATCATATGGAAAGTTTTTTAATAAAATATTAATATCGAACGTATTGTTTAATGTCATTGGTAATGGAAATAAGGAAGAATTGGAACCACTATCGATTAGAATATATTCAATTTGAACACCACCAAAAATGTTATTACTACTTGGTATAAGATAGCGTTCACGAAAATTTTTAATGGCAAAACCTTCAATAAAGTTATTTTTTAAATATGAATTTAATTGAAGTTGAGCATCTATATCTATTGTATCAGTAGTCATTGCTGTTATTTCGAAAAAACAACAGTAGGTTTCTAAAATAAATAAAAAAAAAGGACATCAAATAATATAAGTGCACACTAATAAGATAGATATTCTATTATTAGTTTAATTGTGTCTGTTTGTTTGTTCGAAAGTATAGAAATATGAAAATGGAGAGAATATTTATCACATGAACAGCCAATCAACAGATGAAGTGTGAACATTAACCCTTTCAATCCCGACATTTTCTCTCATTTTATATAAACCTGAAGAAAATCTAGATTTCTCTCTCTCTTGCGTTTTGATCTATATAATCAGCTGTACACGAATTACTAACTACACTAGTTCAGTGCGAAAAAAAATATTTTCACATCGAAGAATACATGTGTTTCTTTGAACACACATATGATATGTATCATGTAGAAAGACGACAGAACGCAAAATTTCTATATTATGATATGCATGTCATCTACGAGATGTCATGCGGGATTGAAAGGGTTAAACATTAATGTACAATGCGATGTATAAAAGAAAAGAAAATTAGGATAAACTTCATCTTCAGATATTGTTTTTTCGAAATGCGGAATTTTTACGATTATTATAATAAAATCTCAACTAAATAGAGGACGCCACCATACAAACAAAATATAATGCATATTTTTGCATTTATTAAAATAAAAGATTACTCGATTTCCGCCAAAATGACATTCTCCAATATAGTATTCCCTAAAGTCACATTTTCGCGGGCATTCGCCATCGACGAAATTTAGAAACTCTGAGATATTATTGGTTAAAATCTTTACGTTTGGATCTTTGGAATATAAATTTTCCAAAACTTATTCAAAAGAAAAAGAGGACTTTGCAAGGTCACGATCCGTCAAATCATGATGCTGAAATCTTGCGGACCGCTGGTAGAAATAGTTAATAGTTATGTGATTGGTTATTTTAAAAACTATGCATTGAGAACAAAAACAAAAAATATGTCTGTTAACTCTGACTGAAGTATTCGCTAGTCAATGAAATATTTGAATCAGCAACCTTAATAGTTATTTCAATACAATGTAGTATTTATGCGAAAATATTTTGATCGCTAGTAAATTTATTGATCAAAATCTTGAACAAACTGTTCAAATTCTTCTGAAAAGTCATGATTTTTATAAATTTACGTATGTGCTCATATCAAAGATGTGTTCTTTCTTAACTACTATTTCCTCGTACATTGAGATGAGTCCAGTGAATGATAAAGTTAATTTCGTTACCTGTTGCCTTTTTAAGAAGATTCATGGTTTCACAGACTACGTATGTCTTACAAAAAGCTGTTTCTGTATTCTCTATCATTATAAGTATAACTACAGCCATCGGCACACTAATAATTCATTCTAACATACCACAAACATCAGGTATTTTACTTCTTGTTTTACATGTGCTGTATTTCTACGATGAATATAGATAACAATATTTTAGAATTTTTAGTTAAAAAAAGCAAGAGGTTAGTTACAAATCCTTCATTTTGATCTGATTATCTATAGGTGACTGAGTCAAATTGTTTGATCTGCCTCTTCTATTTTTTTCTCATAGATCTTTTTAAGTTCTATCAAAGATTTCTTTTTCTCTATCGCTATTCGTGTATTTTTTAGACATAATAAAAGGTGATTGAAAAGTTTCGACTCCTATCAGTAAACTAATGGTAATTGATCGAAGTATATGACTTAGTAGAGGAAAAGACAGAGCTTTATCTAATATGAAGATACTTTGAAATACATCAATATATTCCACTGCTTTTTTGGTATTGCATCAATTTTGAATTCTTTTTCATAATAGTAGTATGTCTTTCACCTCTGAAAGTGTTTTATAGGAGACTTATCATTTCAATGGAATAATATTCATTTATCTAGCATCATCTTCTATTGAATATTAAAATGTACATTAGGAGAATTTTAATGAAACTTGCAAAAATTTCTGAAAAATATATCCAAGCGAGTAGAATATTAGACAAAAAATTCCAAAACAAGATTGTCAATATGAATACCTTTAGGAATATAAAGAATGTTACAAAATTAAAATCATAATCAGCTAATATGATGAATATTATTCTATTGAAACGACAAATTTTGTATTAAATCTTTTCGGATAAAAATACATACAGCTGTTATAAAAAAAATTTCTTCTCAATGAAATATAAGATGAAGCTAGTGAAGCATTCTACAAAATTATGTATTTCATTCATAATAGATCCTATTAACTTACTGATCGAGTCGAAAGTTTGAATAATTCTTTATTTTTATATAATAAGTAACAAATGAAATTGATTCCTTATTGATATATAAAAACATCTTTTTTTTGAAAAGTCCAATGATTATTTTCTTAGATTAACTTGTCATATATACTTTTACCCACTGGGCACTCACTACTTGACGAAAGTCATATTTGCAAATTTCCAGTAACCAAAAAAAAGCATCTGTTTCGTGTAATAAAAAGAAAATTAAATCTCCTAGTCATTCTTTCACATCACTGTATCCAAAAATAAAATTAATGTAGAAATCTTGCTTGATTCATTATACACACTGTCCAGAAATTGGAAATTCAATGAATTTAAGAAAATCAAGTGACTGTGTAAGTGTATGATAATGTCTTCAATTCCTTGAATACTTCGAAATCCAAAAGTTTCACGAGAGTCAAATGAAATTCAATGTTTGCAACTGTTGAAGTGAGATTAAATGTTAATCTTTGTAAATATTTTAGTAGATTTTTGTAACCATCTACTTCAACAACAGTGTGTTCTTTGTTTCTCTTTCGATGATTCCACAAAAAAGAAATTTTATTTTCTATACTTTTAGTTTTTCTAATTGATAGAATAAATCAAATTGGAAAACACTAATAAGAAGCTTATTTAAATAATAGTAATGGATAATGAGCTAAAGTTTCTCAGTAAATAATAAATAATCTAATTCTTCACTAAGGATGGTACATTTGAGTTTAAATTTTCAAGAATGACTAGGAGATTTAATTTTCTTTTTAT